TTAGTGAGGGTAAATTCAAAACTAGTAAAAATAATGGGTATAATAACAAAAAAATAAAATTTCATGAGATAATTTCACTGACACCTCCACTAATTTGGCCAAATATCAGTTTAAAATATCTTTCGAAAATAACTATCACTCACATTACAAACGTTTGTTCCGTTTTTCACTCACACCCCAAAAGTTAGTTTACAAGTGTGTCAGATTACTTTTACATGTAAAAATACATTTTTACCCTTTGACTTTGGTTTGACCTTGGACTTTGGTCTACCCTCATTTTTTTAATTTATTTTTTTACAAAATATCAGTATTAAAAGACAATATGGCCCCTTAAAAATTTGTAAATTTACAAATTATGTTATATACGCCGTTATTGGAATATGCCATTGTCCGGTTTCGCCCGATCTTGATTCCCTCGTCCAGTAATTCTCCACTGCGTGTATAGGTTACGCTTCCTCTCTTGTTCAGCGTTGCTTCGCGTTTTTTCCTGGTGATTCTCAGGTTCGATTCATTGGAAAAATGATCACTTAGTTGAATGAATACACTGACTCCCCAATTTGGGTATATCTTAATTTATTGCTTTGTGTCATGCAGTTAGAGGATGGTAACAAGAAGGCAGAAAACTTAATTTTGTTTCCTCCTACTGATCGGTACATACAGAGACATATATATATACACACAGACACACACATATATATATATACTCCTATATACACACACAGACACGCACACACACACACACACACACACACACACACATTTATATATACTCCTATATATACACACAGAGACATATATATACATACACACACACACACACACACACACACACACACAAGCACAACACCACCACCAATCGCCGTCGATCGCCGTAAAGAGGACCTCCAACACGCCTCGACTACTCTCCTTAAGAAGATGTCGATCGGCGCGTGTGGCGCAATTCCAGCGACGGGGTGCTGAGCTTGTATTTGCCATGGTTTGATGGTGTCGGCTGTGAAGAAGGCAGAGGTGAGCTTGCGGCGGTGCTCGGAACATTAACGGCAGTGTGCTCGGCCGGTGGAGATGGTTAGTTCGGGACGGCATTGAATCAACGAATAAAAAAGTCACGATTCCGGTGATGGGCCGTGATTGGGTTTGATGGCGACCGGCGGGATTTAACGGCTGCTAGCTTAGCTTTGGATGATGGTGGCCGGCAGTGGAGAGGATGGCTGTGGATCGGCTGGTCCTCATCGAATAGTTTACTCATCGTCGTCATTGTCCGGTCCGCTTTTCTTCGCCATCGCTGGAATTGGAAGTGGAAGGTCACAGATCGCCGCCGTGGTTTTGTGTGGCTTGGTTGATTTGTGATCAATTTTTTTGTTTTATTAGTGGATCTGCGTGTTTGGTGCAAAACCTCTAATTCATCTTCATCTCTTTCTCTCTCTATCACACATACCAATATGAAAACAGAATAATCAATTACAGTGTTTGGGGACTGGATTGGAGGCACTTCTAATCAAAATTTTGTTTTGGTTATTCCAAATTTAGAAAATATATCATTTTCTCTAACATAACAAAAATGGGTTTGGGTTATGCAACCACAATTGCCGGCGGCACCACCACCACCACCCCCCATCATCGCCGACCACCAACCACCAACCACCAACCACCAATCTTTCTTTACACTTTCTCTTTCTCTTCTGCAACACTCAACTTCTGGAACCACCACCCACCACCACCACGACGGCTAACAACACCATCTACCCAATGCTCATTCATTGTCAGGGGTATAATTATCTTTTAACTAATCTGAAATTTTGAAATATATGTTATTAAAAAAATAGGGGCAAAGTTGTCTTTTCACGTGTTTTTAACGGAGACTGTGACGGAAAAGCGAAAATGGACCTAAGTGATAGTTATTTTCGAAAGATATTTTAGACTGATATTTGGCCAAACTAGTGGGGGTGTCAGTGAAATTATCCCATTTGGTGCAATTGTTCCTGCTGTGCCCATAACAAGTCCGTTCCTGAATGCATGCATTGCATATCAATTATTAAGAGTTGATTTCAAACCAATAGTTTTATTTGTTGAATGCAAAGCCATTTCTCAAGCCCAATATAATTCAAACCCATTAAACCGTCCAAGTCCAATATAAAACAAAATCAAGTTATATATTTTTTTGGTGTTCAACAATTAAAATAATCTGACAATTTGTACTTAAAAATATTTGGGTAATTAAGTTAGGCGTATGTTAATTAGTCCATTTAACACTCAACCCGACTCATCATAAATAAATTGATAATGAGTTATTGATTTATTATTGACTCGTTTATTTATAATCAGTCTAAACTCACTCAATTGTCATCCCTGGCACCCCAAATTCGAGCCAACACGTCTAACTCTGATGGAACTACTCGCAGATGATGTATGTGGTCGGCCTTTGATGCCTTATTTTTGTGTTTTTTTATTTATTTTTTTAACAAGAAACTCGCCGCCCCATAAATCCTTACAAAGTATCACTTTGCCTTCTATTATTGACGCATTTGGGGTTGCAAGTATACCTGTTAACAAATTTGATTCAGATCAGATATATCTTAATTCGTTCTGATTACTCGAAAGATTATATATTAGTGATTCCATTTACTATTTTAAAGAGTTTATCGGATTATCAATCCGATAACATGATCCATTTAATAAGTGTGTATATATATATATAATCAATAGGAAGAAGAAAATAATTGAAAACATGAAGAAAAAAGTTCTAATACTATACATGTTAAAACTCTATCTAAACAACATTTTTATTAAATTTTTCATAAACTACCTATCGTGAATGACTAAAAATATATGCACAACATATTTTATATTATATTTGACTGGATCGGATTGACCATCCAAATCTGATTTATTAATTTAACATATTATTGAATTCTATCAATAACAGATTAATTGATTAAATATTTAATACATATTTGAGTCATCACATTAAATTTTGATTGAAATTCTAGTTGCAAGTCCCAGTCAAGCACATTACTCTTGTTTTAATTCATTTTGTTTTGAAGTTGCAATAAATATTACAGTGATAAAATTAATATAAATTATGGGTTTGCCTTTAATAGATTGTTAAAATACTAATAATAATAATAAATAAATAAAAGAAGAACGAAGAAGAGAATATAAGCAGCCTATTGTCACATGGTCTGGAGCAACTCCAGACCATGTGACAAAAGAACAAACATTTTGGCCTCAACTTAAAGTTGTTAAAACTCAATGAGATCATGGTTTTCAGGGTTTCTTGAGCATTGGGAAGTTTATAATTTATGATACGGTCCGTGAAGTTGTTGAAACTCGACTCTCCCCGGTCCCCATATATTTAGCCTTGTAGGGATGGATAAGAGGGTACGCCATTAATTTTAATTATTTTGTGAGAGGACACTTAAACTACACTAATCACACGCGCACACACACACACAGAGACACAGGGTATGCTATTAATTTTAATTATTTTGTGAGAGGACACTTAAACTACACTAATTTAATGAACAAATCGGATGGACCTAAAATTGTTCTGCAACTCTAATTGAAGAGGGGGGGTTGGGAACTTGGGAGCCACATCCATTAATTGTAGTTTATATTTGTAATGTAATTTAACTTTTGTACTAATCTTGATTTCATTATAACCTTTCCCTTTTGAGAGAAAAGCATTATATAGAAGTTTTTTTCTTGTTAACTTGAAAGAGATGAGATGGACAATAATAATCCTTGTATGTGACTTTAGTTATTATATAAACCTCACGCATAAACTAACTCATAATAAAAGAAAGAAACAGAATGCCAAAATGTATTAATCACAACTAATCTTAAAACAATCGTAAAACAATCAAATTGATTAGTTAAGATTGGAAATTTTATAATATTAAGATATATGGTTGTTAGAGAAGGGAACATACATACATTCACTTCAATTTGTTCACTGAGAAAATGCCTAAAAAGTATTAATCACAACTAATCTTAAAAAAATCAAATTGATTCAAACTTGGTGATAGGGAAAAATAACCCTAGCCTATCTTGACTTAACAAAAAAGGGAATTAAATATTGACCTGCCACCAGATTTCTCCAACTCTCAGACGATAATATCTCGTTATTAAGGATAACCATTCTGTTAGATAAGAATGATGACAAATCGTATCTAGGATAGGATTTGTCATGGGATAAGTTCAAATCTTATCAATGATAGGATTTCCACGAGGTAGGCTCCATGGGCTAAGGACGATGGAACTCCCTTATCAAGAATAAGGGAAGTGACTATAAAGACAAAGACGACTCGGGGATAAGGTACGCACAAAAAAACTCCTACTAAGCAAATTACGATTAAAATTCTCTATCGAGAATCCTTGCTGACTTGATCGTCGGAGGGTCAACGGCCGGCACCACACCGGTGTTTGACTTTGCCATCCTTATTTTGCAGGAAACGGTGTCGTACTAGACCGCGGCGAAATTCAACCTCAACAGTTGGCGCCGTCTGTGGGAAAATCGATTCCCTTGAATCGATTTATTACTCGTTGGGTATAGACGTTTGCGGTCCGGTATGGTTACCGAAGGAACACCGTCGCAGGGATCTGGTCAAAGGGAAGAGTCGGGTGAAAATCTAGACGTCCCAAATGACTAGACACGATTTGCAGCGTTGGAACTGCAGGTCCAAACTCTGAATCAGGGTATGGACCAGTTGATCCAACAAAATGCAGCACTCCTGCAACACCTTGTTCCACCGGTTCAACAGGGTTTGCCACGCCAAGACCTCTCGAATCCAAACAGGGGTAATGGGAATCTGGAAGAGCAGGATACTCATCCTCCCCGACATGAGACCGAAGTTGAACAAAGCCAGGTGGGAAACCGACATAGAGAGGTGATCCACCCCTTTCTTCCACGGAGTTCCCGACCCCATGAAGACACGACTGTCATTGAAAAGACCGAGGAAATTTCCCACGTTGACCTAGAGATATAGGATCTCAAGGCAAAGATGGAGGGTGTGATGCAGGCCATGAAGGGAAAAGGCATTGCAGCCATAGATGGTTTGGTGCAGAAAACCAATTTGCCATTCAGCCCTTCGGTTGTGAAATGCCCTTTGCCAAGCAAATTTAGAATACCCACAATTGAGAGTTTCGACGGAACTAAAGATCCCCTCGACCACTTGGAGACTTTTCAGGCGCTTATGCACCTACACGCGATGCCGGATGAGATCATGTGCAGGGCTTTCCCAATTACTCTTAAAGGATCAACACGGGTATGGTTCAACAAACTAAAGCCAGGAATCATCGAAACCTTTGAAGAATTGAGTAAAGGCTTCGTGGGCCATTTCATTGCTGGCCAGAGGCATAGAAGGCCGGCTACCCACCTCCTTACTGTGAAGCAACAGAAGGGAGAGTCACTGCGAGATTACATTAGTCGTTTTAACACGGAGATGTTACAGGTGGAGGAAGCGGATGACAAGGTGGCCCTAGCCGCCTTAATGGGAGGACTTCAAACCTCAAGATTTCTCTTCTCTTTATCAGAGGAACCTCCTACCAACATGGCCGAGTTATTGGTTCGAGCTAAAAGACATATGAATGCTGAAGATGCAATGATTGCGAGAAAGGGAAAAGAAGGGGAGGATAAGAAGTCAGACAAGAAAAGGCCGGCCCTGATGATCAGAGATGAAAAGGAAACCAAGTATAAGAAACCCATGGTCAACCAGAATGAAAGGGCATCTCGCTATAAGAACACGGAGAGGTATACAAATTACACTCCTTTAAATATGCCGATAGATAAAGTTTTCCTACAGATCCAGGATGAACCATATCTGAAGTGGCCACCGAAGTTGAAGTCAGATCTGGCAAGGAGACCTCGTGATAACTATTGCAGGTTCCATAAAGACCATGGGCACGCTACAGAGGATTGCTTCGACCTTAAGGATCAAATTAAGACTCTGATCCGAATGGGCACATGCGAAAATTTATTGTGGGGAATGACAGAATCGACATTAACCCACTAAGAGCAGGCCGAGATAACCACCCTCCTGATCAACAACCAATAGGAGAGATCAGGGTCATAGCCGGGGGGTGTGCAGGAGGTGGAGAATCGAGCTCAGCCCGTAAGGCCTATGCAAGGAGAATGCGAAGCTCATCTGAGGTGTGCGAAGCGGGAGTACAGATTCAACATCGAAAGATGCCTCGTTTAGGTGATCCAGTTATTACATTCTCAGATGAAGACATGAAAGATGTGCAGCAACCTCATGACGACCCTCTTGTCGTCACCATGATGATCGCTAACTATAATACTCGGTGAATCTTGGTAGATAATGGAAGTTCAGCTGATATCATTTTTCTTGATGCATTCAGCAAGATGAAGATTGGTAAGGAGAAACTCAGACCTACCAGATCACCATTGGTAGGATTCACGGGAGACAAAGTCTATCCTCTAGGAGCAGTCATCCTTCCTGTCACTGCAGGAACCAGCCCAAAGCAAGTCACTGTCATGGTCGACTTCCTGGTGGTGGATTGTCCATCTGCTTACAATGTCATCCTAGGAAGAGCGACCTTAAATTCGATGAGGGCTATCACTTCGACTTATCACCTATTAATGCGCTTCCCTACCGAGCATGGCGTGGGCGAACTAAGAGGAGATCAGTCCATTGCCAGAGAATGCTACGTTACATCTCTCAAAGAAAAGAAACAGCATGAGGCTTTGATTGTCGATGAAGTTGAAGAGAATGAGCAAGACCGGGCTAAGCCAATCGAGGACTTGGTGGAGATATGCTTGAATGACACTGACATAACAAAAAAGGTGAAGATAGGGTCTCTGCTCCCCTCAGATTTCACAAATATTCTTATACAGTTCCTCAGACAGAATCAAGATGTATTCGCTTGGTCACATAAAGACATGCCCGGTATTAATCCAGCTACGATTGAGCATCGATTAAACACAGATCCTACATTCAAACCTATCAGGCAAAAGCGAAGAACATTTGCCGCGGAAAGGAACATGGCTATATCAGAAGAAGTGAATAAGCTTATGAAAGCTGATTTCATCCAGGAGGTTCATTATCCCGACTGGTTGGCCAATGTTGTTTTGGTAAAAAAGGCCAATGGAAAATGGAGGTTGTGTGTAGACTTTACGGATTTAAATAAGGCGTGCCCCAAAGACAGTTTCCCTCTACCAAGAATTGATATGTTGGTAGAAGGGACAGCTGGCCATGAGTTGCTCAGTTTTATGGATGCATATTCAGGGTATAACCAAATCTCAATGCACACGCCAGACAGAGATAAAACCTCTTTCATCACGGACAGAGGTTTATATTGCTATAAGGTGATGCCTTTCGGGCTAAAAAATGCTGGTGCAACATATCAGCGGCTAGTAAACCTGATGTTTAAGAACCAAATCGGAAGGAATATGGAAGTGTATTTGGATGACATGCTTGTAAAAAGCTTGAAAGCTCAAGACCATCTGGTTGATCTACAGGAAACGTTCCAAGTCCTCAGGAAACACCAGATGAAGCTCAACCCAAGTAAATGTGCCTTCGGAGTCTCCTCTGGGAAATTCCTCGGTTACATGGTAAGTAGAAGAGGGATAGAAGCTAACCCTGAGAAGGTCCAGGCGATTCTCAACATTCAGTCTCCAGCATCAACCAAGGAACTTCAAAGATTGACAGGAAGGATCGCAGCTCTGAACAGGTTGATTTCCAGGGCGACCGATAGGTGTTTGCTTTTTTCCGTCTGCTCAGGAAAGCTTTTTCATAGACCCCTGAGTGCAAGCAAGCTTTTACAGAGCTAAAGGAGTATCTCACTTCACCACCATTATTGTCGCGGGCGATGCAAGGAGAACAGTTGTATTTGTACTTGGCAGTTTCTCCGTCGGCAGTAAGCTCAGCCTTGGTCCACGAAGAGGATGGAAACCAGAAACCGGTATATTATATTAGTCGTGCATTCAGGGGGGCGGAAGAAAGATACCCAAGGATAGAAAAGTTGGCATTTGCTCTAGTTATCTCCGCGAGGAAACTCAGGCCTTACTTCCAAGCTCATACAATAATAGTATTGACGGACCAACCACTTAGGCAGGTTCTCCGCAAACCTGATACTTCAGGGCGACTCATGAAGTGGTCGGTAGAACTTGGAGAGTTCGAAATCCAATACAAACCCCGAACAGCCTTAAAAACCCAGGTACTGGCAGATGTTATAGCGGAATTCACACCAGAAGATGGGCCCAAGCATGCTGCAGATGAGCAGGAAGAAGCCGAATCTACTTGGACGTTATATGTGGATGGGTCTGTCAACGCCCGTGCAAGTGGGGTAGGGCTAGTAATTATCTCCCCAAATGGGGAATGCATCAAATATGCATCAAATGAGGCAGAGTATGAAGCCCTCCTAGCAGGCCTCAGGATGGCGAAAGCTTTGGAAGTTGAACGACTAGTAGCATATACTGACTCTCAACTAATAACTGGACAAGTCCAGGGGGAATATGAAGCCAAGGATGAGAAGATGAAGACCTATTTACATAAGATAGAGGATATCAAGGGCTTTTTTAAGAAGTTTTCTATTCACTGGATTCCCCGAGAAGAGAATGCGCAGGCAGACGCCCTGGCTCGATTGGCAACCACAGAGGAAGATAAAGCCATACCCGTGGGATATTTGGATGAGCCTAGCACGGTCTGGGATTGGCCACAGAAAATACACCAGGTGGCCCATGGCATGGAGTGGACAGAACCCATTATCAGGTACATTGAGAACGAAGAGCTACCCCAGGACCGCATGGAAGCACGAAAGATTAGGAAGCGTGCGGCAAAATATTCCCTCGTTAATGGGGTTCTCTACAAGAAGGGATTTTCTCTACCCTACTTGCGTTGTGTCTCCATTGATGAGGCAAATTACATTCTAAAGGACATACATGAAGGCCTTTGTGGAAATCATGCTTGGGGCAGATCACTAGCGCATAAAGCTATCCGACAAGGATATTTTTGGCCTACTATGAGGACAGATGCACTTGAGTTTGTGAAGAAATGTGACAAGTGTCAAAGATTTGCCAATGTCCCAAAACAACCAGCAGAAAAGTTAACCCCTCTTACAGGGCCGTGGCCTTTTGCCCAATGGGGGACAGACCTCATCGGCCCCTTACCCCAAGGGAAGGGACAAACTAAATACGTAATTGTGGCTATCGATTATTTCACCAAATGGGTAGAAGCTGAGCCATTAGCTCATATTAGAGTGAATGAAGTAAAAAAGTTTTTCTGGAAGATAATAATCTGCAGGTTCGGAGCACCAAGGGTAATTGTGACCGATAATGGGAAGCAGTTTGAAAGTGAGCAGTTCCTCGATTTTTGTAATGAACTTGGGATCAAAGTTCATTTCTCCTCTCCTGCCCATCCCCAAGCCAATGGGCAGGTTAAAGTCACGAATAGGACAATATTGAAGATGATCAAGACACGCCTAGAAAAGGCCAAGGGCTTGTGGCCTGAACAACTACCCGGAGTTTTATGGGCCTATCGCACTTCCGTAAGAACCCCTACTGGGGAGACCCCTTTTGGGTTAGCTTTTGGAAGTGAAGCTGTGATCCCGGTAGAAACCAAGGTTGCTACCTTCAGAACCAAGTATTTTGAACCTCAACAGAACGGAGTGGAACTACGATTAAACCTAGACCTGGTAGAAGAGAAAAGGGAGCAGGCCCAGGTCAAGGTTGCGGCTTACCAGCGGATGATATCCAAGTACTACAATGCCCGAGTCAAGCCAAGGAGGTTCGAGCCAGGAGACCTGGTGCTTAGTGAGGTTACCCCAGCTACTAAGGAAAAGGGGGAAGGAAAGTTAGCTCCCAATTGGGAGGGCCCTTATCGAGTAACCAAAAGCAACAGACCGGGGGCATACTGGTTAGAGTCACTTGGTGGGAGCCAGCTTCCCCACCCGTGGAATGCAAAACATTTGAGGAAATATTACCAGTAGGTACTCATGCCAGGCTGTGTTTTATTTTATTATCTCACTTTTAAAAGTGATAGAATGTTTTCAGCCACAATAAAGTAGACCAGTGTGTAACGGATGCTGATATTCAACTATCGATTATTATTTTCGATAGGTCTTTAATAAAATGGTTATTCGTATTTATTGCACGTGTTTCTACTGAAGTTTATAAGTCACATAAGGACTAGTGACACATTAAGTCCCCTTCTTTATTAAAAGAAGTAAGTGACTTTTCCTTACTAAAGGGACGAGCTGGGTGAAGCTCGTAAAAATATGTTCCTTCGAAAGAAGGACGGGCTGAGTGAAGCCTGGGAAAGTAAAATGAGTTCTGTATAAGGAAATAACAAGTATGGAACAATACCATGAAAGACAAAAGTAGAGCAACTATTCTCTGGATTCAAAGATATTCTGAAAAGTTTTAAAGGAACAACATACTGAGAAATCAAAAAACCTAATATATATATATATATATATATATATATATATATATATATATATGACTAATACTATGGAATTCAATCTTCCTCTTCGCTCTCACTTAGAACGTCATACCTAGAAAAGTCTATGTCTGGACGATCTTTGCCGACAAGAGCTTTGAACCGGTCAAAACCATCACAGCAAGCCTTGCCTATGAGCACCTTGAATTCATTAGAATTTTTAAAATTCTCCACGGCAGCTAGCTTCTCGAATTCCATCTTATCAGAGTATTCTTTGGTAAGTTTCACTTTCTCATCTTGAAAGTTTAATTTTGCATTAGTCAAGTCATCTTCTTTTATTTTAAGTGTAGAAGTAACATCTTCATATTTAGCCTTGAGGGAAGCCATCTCTAAGGAAAGCTTCTCGTATTCTTTGGCGATAACAACAGAGTATGTAGTGCCCTATAAATAAATAAATAGTGGCGAACAGTTAAAAATAAATAAATAAATAAACGAAAAAAAATAGATGCGCATAATAAGGGTAAAATCTCACCTAGCCGATTAGATGAAGAAATTTCTTTGAAAGCTCAGATGCTGGCAGACTCTGCAATCTGGCAGTGTCGTCTTTTACTACCATTTTATGTAACCTGTCATTTGCGACATTAGCGTCATCGAGAATCGATTCCCCGTGGGAAAAGGCTTGGTTGGTTGATACTGAACAAAAACTTTCGAAACTAGTAGGAACCCCACCAAATCCGCTGAAACCTAGAGGTACAAGAGTAGGACCTGATAACACTCCAGGGCTTGCGGATGTACCATGATTCCCTTCTCCTACCCTTCGTAATTTTTTGGAAGCAGGAGTAGAAGGGAGATTACTTGACCGGACTTGGGCTAGGAGTCTTGTACTAAGCTTCTTGCCTGCATGAAA